CTACTATCCCCCCAGATCTTATCTCCCCCAACCTACCATCCCTCCCCAACACACTCTCCCTCCTCACCTGGATGTTCCTCTTGATGATGTCCCTGGTCAGTTGTACCTTGCCTGTGCTGGGGTCCACCCCGGCCAGTGGCACCATGACCTCCCCGATGACGTCATCCCGGGAGAAGCGGTCAAAGCTGAGGACGAGGAAGTGCAGCACCAGGTCCTGCAGCTGGCTGTACGGGATGCCGTAGAAGGTGAAGGTCTCGTCGAACACAGGGTCCAGGGTCTTCCGCAGCACTCTGGTCTTCACCCGATGCCGCTTGTCGGGAAGGATGGTCATTTTGATGTAGGGGTCAGAGCCCTGGGTCTGGTCATCCATCACGGGCAGCCCATGCGCCTCCTGGATTGTCACCACCAGGGCTTTCTTCGGGAAGTTATAGTCCACTGAGAAGGTGAGGGATCCAAGCATGACTTCCTCCTCTGGAGATGATGGAGACGTGGTTTTGCTCTCCCCAGGGGTCAGGCTCGTAATGGGGCTCCGCAGTTCTTCCCCATAGTCCATTTTGATGGGTAACTGGTCTATACAAGAGCCAGAGCTAGCCCCCCTGGGACTCTTGTCGCGGCCCAGCAGGCCAGCCTCTGCCGCGTCCGTCAACAGGTTCCCGCGGCCACCTTCCCTCCCGGGGCCGTCTTTGTCTCTCCGCACTTTGATGATTTTCTTCTTGTTGCTAAGGGTCTCTGGGTATATGCTGATGCCTTTGAGCATGTGAATAAACTTGTACGGTGGGGTCTTGTGCTTCTTTTCTGCCTGTTGGTGGCAGCATGTCCAGACAAAGACGGTCACCGAGACACACACCACCAGCACAGAGGCCCCGATGAGGCCGGCCACCACCGGTGACACATCTGAAGGTGGAGACCAGAGATGCATCAAGGCAGGTGGATTTCAACCCCTGGCCAGAGCTCCCTGTTTAATGCCTCTGCTGGCGCCAAGCTAATCTGCAGTCTAGCCTCTAAAGCAAAATGTGCTCGCCTGGGCTTCACAGCCTCTCCCTTCTCTTAGAGACGCCCTTGCCCACCCTCTCCAACCAATCCATGGCTTGTCCTTCCCCCTGAACCTGGGGGGAACGTTTGTCCTCTCCACAAAGCCTTCCCTGAAGTGCCCCGCCTGACTCCCTGTCTCCTCTTGGCCTTCTCTCAGCACTTAACAGACTTAGTTTTGCTCATAGTGGTTTGCGCTTTGCATAAAGCTGTCCTGTAAGTGTTCTAAGATCACCTCTTTGCATGGGAACCCATTTGCTTTAACCACCACACAGGGCATGAGCTGTGCTTTTGGCTTCAGGAGGATAAGCGGCAGCATCAGCACAGAGCTTGCAAACAGAGAATCTGTGCCAATGGAAAGGCTGATTGTCAGGGTGGGCTGTCAGGGTGAAGTTGAGTTTCCGCGATCTTGGTAGGGAGCTCAAAGGTGGTAAATGTGGATCGTTGTGCCTAGCTGCAGTGTGCGGGCAACAGGGCACTGCTGTGTGCTGCTGGAACCGTGTCGGGGGCCCAGGCTCATAATCCAGGCCAACCTGAACATGTCAGGCATGGCCTTGGGAGTGCCCACAATCTTGGGTGGCTGAGAGGCTGGGGGTGCAAGATCAGAGTATGGTGAGACCCTGACCAAGGGGTCTCTCTTTCTCTCTCATAAACACATGAAATAAACTTTTTTTTTTTTTTGGAGAAGTTTGTGCTATAGGGTGCATGTGTTCTCCAGAAAGACAGAGAGATACAGACAGAAAGTGAGAAATCAACCCCCAGCGGGGATGGCCACACCACAATCCCTTCTCCTTTGGTATCTTGGCCTCGAGCGCACACACCCGGCGTGAGTTTAAGCCACTGTGTCTGGGACTTGAACTGCAGTCGACTACATGGGAGTCCAGAGACATAGTCATTATGCCAACTGTTGGTCCTGGGTTTAGGTAATTTTAAAATATGTTCTAAAATTTCAGCTCCCAGGTATATAAAATATAAGTATTTTACATAGGAAGAAATAGAGCCCGCAGAAAACATTGATATCTTTGTTCAAATGTCTCCTTAATAAGGCCTTCCCTGACTACTCTGTTTAAAAGTGCATACTTGGGGCTGGCAGGTGTTGTGGTGGTTAAGGTCCTGAACTCCCACATGGCTGACCATAGTTCAAGTCCTAGATCTGGTGGCTTTCTTTCTCACTCTCTCTCCTTTTCTCTCTCTGGTAAAATTAAAAAATAATAAAAATGGGGCTGGCAGGTGGCTGGACTCCCACATGACTGACCATGGCATGGATCTGGCAGCTTGCTTTCTCACTTTCCTTCTCTCTCTCTCTCTCTCTGGTCAACTTCAAAAAAATAAAATAAGTTAATGACAATAAATAAAATTTAAAAAATAATAATGCATAAAAATAAATAAATCTTAAAAAAAAATAAATAAAGGTGCACATTTTCTTACCCTGACACTCACTTTTCCTAGCCTGGCTTAAAGTTTTTAAAATTAAAAAAAAAAAAAATTGTTAGAGAGCATGTGCACTCAATGAGGATAGAGAGAGAGGGAGAGGGAAAGTGAGAAAGCACCCTTCTCCCCATAGGGGATGGTCACTCTACAATCCCTTCTCTCCCACTCTCCTTCCTTTTGGGATTTTGGGCACATATGCACATATACTCAGCATGTTTTTCAAGCTACCAGGTTGAACTGAGCTGTTGGCTATGTGGGTTCCAGCTGCCTTCACCACCACGCCATTGGCTGGCCCTAATTATTTTGGTTTTGTTTTTTGACATAGAGCATGTGCTCTTTCTAGAGAGAGACAGAGAGAGGGAAAGTAAGAAATCACCCTCAGGGGAGATAACTACACTACAATTCATTCTTCTCCATTCTCCTCCTGGGATTTTGGACATGCACACACACGGGCCTGGCATGATTTTCAAGTTACTGGGTCTGAGACTCAAAACGCAGGAAGTCATGTGGAAATCCAGCCACCTTAACTTCTAGGCCATCTGTTGGCCCTTAGAGAGAGAGAGAGAGAGAGAAAGAGAGAGGGAAAGTGAGAAACAAGCCACCAGGTCCAGGACTCGAACTGCTGTCACCCACGTGGGAGTCCAGCACCCTTAACCACCATACCACCTGCTGGCCCCAATTAATTATTTTTTTTTTGGTAAAATACGCCTTGTCTGGAACCAACAGATGGTGTAATGGTTATGTTGCTGGACTCCTACATAGTTGACCATGGTTCGAGTTCCAGACCTACCGACTTAAAACTCACGCCAGGTATGTGTGTATGCATGCCCAAAATCCTGAGAGGAGAATGGAGGAGAAGGGGTTGTAGCATGGCCACACCCCCCCAGGGGGTAATTTCTGTCTCTCCAGCAAGTGCATGCACCCTGTAGCAAAAATCTCTCTAAAAAAATAAATATATAGGGCCGGCAGGTGGCATGGTGGTTAGGGGTGCTGGACGCCCACATGGCTGACCATAGTTCTAGTCCCAGACCTGGAGGCTTGCTTTCTTGTTTGCTGAGATTGGCCACTCTCCACACTTTCTCACTTTGTCCCTCTCTCTCTCTATTTCACTCTGTCCCTCTCTGGTCAAATTTATAAATAAGTAAGTAAATAAGTAAATAGTTAAATAATTCTTTAAATAGATAAATAAATAAATATGTATATAAAAATATGCCTTGTCATTTCTTTCTCTTTCTCACAAGCATACATATAAGGAAAAACAAATATAATTTCCACATCTAAGAGTTAAATAAGTATACATACCCCACATACATAATCTTCCTACTTATTGTTTTTCTTCCATAGAATGCAGTCTTCATGAGCATAGATTTGTGTGTGTTTTGCTCACTGTTGTGTTCCCAGCACTCCAAACACACAGCAGGCATTTAATATGTATTTGTTGAATAAACAAATAACTAAAGAGGCATATTCCAGATGGAATCTCCTTCCTGGAACCCGGCTCCACCAGGCATCTGCACAGCTCACTGCGTCTCTTACTGAAGGTTCGTCTTATCAGAGAAGCATTTCCTGTCTATTCCAAGCAAGATAGTATTCCCATCACCCTTCTTGATTTATCTTCATAGGGCTTATAACCATGACATATTTTTGTCTTCCTTCTCTCACTAGATAAACTTAGTAAGAACAATGACTTTGGGGCTAGCTGGTGGTGTGGTAGGTAAGGTGGCTGGATCCCACACAGACTGTGTAGTTTTGAGTACTGGACCCAGTGGTTTGAAAAACAGGCCAGGCGTGTGTGCATGTGTGCCCAGGATCCCAAGGGGAAAGTGAAGGAGAAGGGATTGTGATGTGGCTATCCCCCATGGAGGGTGATTTCTCTCT